CCCCCCCCCAGCAGACCAGGCTTTTGTTGCGGGACGCCTCGGATAGAGCAGCTGTTGAAACTGATCAGGCTGATTCCAGGAAGCTGGGGGCAGAGCAACTCTGCCTCCGGCTTCCTGTAGTCAGCCCCTGGTCAGTTTCAGCAGCAGCGGCTGAATCTGGAGCCAGTTCCGACTTGCATACAAATTCAACTGAAGAACAAACCTATAGTCCCTATCTTGTACGTAACCCGGGGACTGCCTGTACTTCAATTTTCAGCCACTTATTTAGCTATAATCACTTTTTATAATAAGAATAGCCCTTCCTCTTTAAGTCACACTATTATGTTTGTGCAAGATGTTTAAGAAGCTAACTTTGTCAGAAGGATTGAGCTCTTGGTGAATGTTTTTGGGATCATTGGAATTTTGGTCATGACATACTGCAGAGTTGCAGTGTCCCACTGGAAAGCCCGTGTGTTGACTTTTCTGCTAAGTTAATGGAATCTCAGTAATCCATGTAATTCAGTGAAGGAATTGAAGGAGCTGCTTGACTCTCCTTATTACAAGCAGTTTTGTTACAAGTTTTCATGTTGTTTTCAAGTGGGGGAGCAGAGATATTTAAAATAAACTTTGTTTTGTCAAATCAAACTGAAAAATTGTCACAAGCTTCAAATCTCTTCCAGCAATGCAAAGAGAAATGCATATCCTAATGTAAATTGCCCGTGAACCAATCTCTAAAGCATATCAATGATATCATGATTAAGAACCATGACAATTGGCATTCTCTGAGGCTGTCTGTATGCTCCTGGGTTTGTATTAATGATCTTGTCAGGAAATCCCATCTCAAGCACCAGCCAACCAATAATGCATAAAATAGAAATTGTGTGAGAAAATTACTTCCTTTCAAACTTTTTAGAGCTGCACTGCAAACAGAAAACAAACATACAAATTATCTATTGAAGATACATGGAGAGTGGTTTTCAAATGTATATTCTTACTCATAACACTTAGTTAGCAAATCTGTGCAAGGCAGTGGCTATGACATTATGTAGAATATGCCTGCCCCATACACAATTTTGGAGTGGGTTTTTGTGTGCATGTATTTGAATTTTGACACATTCTGTCACGCTTGTCAAAATTTGACTTTAGTGATACCTAGAGGCCTCACTGAATATCTGGACCATGTTTGTAAAAGTTTTTCAATAAAAAGATGGCTAAAATGTCAGTGTTTTTGTGCCTGGAAGGTGATCCTGGATCTTGAGGAAGAAAGGCAGCGGCATGCCCAAGACACGGCTGAAGGAGATGATGTCACCTACATGTTGGAGAAGGAGCGGGAACGGCTGACTCAGCAGGTGCATCTTGGGAGTTAGTTATTAGCCCTCCCCACAGAAAGCTGAATGCCCTCAGAACACATAGTTATACTAAGTCTTAGTGATGAAGCAGTGTCTAATTGTGCCTGAATAAGAACGGCCATACTAGGTCAGACCAAAGGTCCATCTAGATAGGATATGTCTTCTGACAGTGGCCAGTGCCAGGTGCCTCAGAGGGAATAAACAGAACAGGCAGTCATCAAGTGATCCCACCCTTGTTGCCCATTCCCAGTTTCCGACAAACAAAAGCTAGGGACATCATTCCTGCCCATAGCCATTGATGGACCTATCCTATCTAGCTCTTCTTTGAACCTTGTTAAAGTCCTGGCCTTCACGCTATCCTCTGGCAAGGAGTTCCACAGGTTGTCTGTGCGTTGTGTAAAGAAATACTTCCCTTTGTTTTAAACTTGCTACCTATTAATTTCATTTAGGAACCCCTAGTTCTTGTGTTATGGGTAAGGAATAAATAACTCTTTATTCACCTTTTCCACACCAGTTGTGATTTTGTAGATCTCTGTCATATCCCCACTTAGTCTTCTCTTTTCTGAGTTGAAAAGCCCCAGTCTTATTAATTTCTACTCATATGGCAGCCATTCTAAACCCCTAACTATTTTTGTTATCCTTTTCTGAACTTTTTTCAGTGCCAAGATACCTTTTTTGAAATGAGGCTACCACATCTGCATGCAGTATTCAAGATGTGGGCGTCTCATGGATTTATATAGAAGATTTAGATATTCTCTCTCTTTCTCTGCTCCTTTATTAATGATTCCTAACATTCTGTTTGCTTTTTTGACTCCTGCTGCATATTGAGTATCAAATAAATATTAAGGATATGACTTTCTACATTTCCTGGCTTTTGTCAACCATATGTAAAATACCAGCTAACGCCTGGTTTTCCATATGTGAAATGGGTTAAAATATTCACAGCTTAAAAAAGCTTATTTCAGCCCTAAAGGGAAAAAAAACCTCAGGAAGCAAGCTGAATTGAAGGCAGAACAATCTGCATCCCACCTTGTTGCTCTCTGATAGTTTACAAGACTGATGCAGAACTCCCAAACTGGTAGGGGAAAGATTTGGTACGCTTCTGTTCAGAGAGCCACAGTAATGCAGATTGGTGGTGGTTTTTCATCTGTAACACAAGAACAGTAGAAAGGGATAGCATTAGAGTTTAGACTTCCCTAAACATTTCTAAATGGCACTGTAAAGCAGATTCAGAGGGGAGGGAGGAATCACTAAGAAGGAACTTTAAAGGAAGCTTCAGTATGGTAGGTAGACCATTGGTATATGTTACACTAAATGTAAACAACTGAAAATTTCCCACCAGTGATTATACAAAGTGGTAGAAACCAATCAGAGCTGCTTGCCATGCGACAAGTTGGTGACCTCTCAGACATCTGAAATGGGACAAGGAACCTTCTTTGTGTGTGGAGTTAGTGAAGCCCTCTGTTGTTGGGAATACAGGATTGTGAGCTGAGGCAAATGAGAAACTCATCCGATCTGCAGCTTTACCACATTAGTTTTTTTGGGTATAGACAGTTGCCTCATTTGCATATGGGAGGCTTTTTTGTTCCCTCTGAGAACTCTTTTGTCTTCTTTTTCCAGTTGGAATTTGAAAGGACCCAAGTGAAAAAAATTGAAAAAGAGCAGAAGAAGCTGTCGAGCCAATTGGAAGAAGAGAGGGCACGCCACAAACAGCTGTCCTCCATGCTTGTACTAGAGTGCAAGAAAGCCACAGCCAAGGTAGTCGAAGAGGGACAGAAGGCAGGGGAGCTGAGCTTGAAACTGGAGAAAGAAAGAAGCAAAGTGAGCAAGCTGGAGGAGGAGCTGGCCTCCAAGAAGAAGCGGGGCTTGCAAATGGAGGCACAGGTAGAAAAGCAGCTCTCTGAGTTTGACATCGAAAGAGAACAGTTGAGAGCCAAGCTGAACCGAGAAGAGAACCGGACAAAGGCACTCAAGGAAGAGGTGGAGAGCCTGAAAAAGGCCCTGAAAGAACTGGAGGTTGCTTGCCAGGGCAGCAACCCTGCTGCACATTCACATCAAACAGCACCCCTGCTGCACTTTCACATCAAAACCCCTCAGTGATATCCAGAGATGTAGCAACAGACAGCCCCCTGGTGAGGTCTGTGTCTTGCCAGACAGAAAGTTTTCAGGCAGACAGCACCAGTCTGGGCAGTGTGGGCAAAGCTGCACACATGACCCTTCCTAACCCGTCCACACCTACCCAGCCCTATGCTAAAGCGAATGGGCACTGTGAGACAGAGATGCAGCCAAGTGGGGAGCTAGTGCAGACAAACGTAGCAGAGAACCAGGCACCACTGAGAGAGAAGCCCGTTGGGCCAATCCCAGAAAGTGCAGTTGAGAATGGAGGTTCCCCTGTAAGAACAGAATCTCCTGTTTATATGATCTCCCAGCTCCCTTCTGGTGGGACGTCTGTCTCTCCCAGCAACACAGCTGCCTCATCTCTGTCGTCTTCTCCATGCTCGTCCCCAGTTCTGACTAAACGCCTGGTGGGAACTTCAGCAAACAGCCCTGGTTACCAGTCGTCCTACCAGGTTGGGATCAACCAGCGTTTCCATGCTGCCAGACACAAATTTCAGTCCCAAGCTGATCAGGACCATCAGTCAAGCGGCCTGCAGAGCCCTCCATCGCGGGATTTGTCTCCTACCCTTGCAGACAACTCCGCTGCCAAACAGTTAGCCCGCAATACAGTCACTCAGGTTCTTTCCCGATTCACCAGTCAGCAGGGACCTATAAAGCCAGTCTCGCCAAATAGCTCACCCTTTGGCACAGACTACCGGAATCTGGCAAATGCAGTGAGCCCAAAAAGTGAGTCCAGCCCAGGCAAAGTTTCTAGTCCACTGAGCCCATTGTCTCCTGGAATTAAATCGCCAACAATTCCCAGAGCAGAAAGAGGGAACCCTCCACCTATTCCTCCGAAGAAACCTGGCCTGGCTCAGTCCCCGGCAACTCCTGGCCCACTAACCAAAACCCCTTCCCAGGCATCCTCTGTCGGTGCCCCTGTGGACTTGGCAAGTAGCTGCTCTAACAATGCTGTAGTAGCAAATGGTAAAGACATTGACATACTGTTGCCAACTAATAGCTAGTCTTTAGAAAATGTGACTGTAGCATTCCATGGCTTAGCATCCTAGAGCTAAGACACTGTTTTATCCACTCCATGTTATTTATTTGGGTAGTAGCAGAATGCCTCTGTGTAATACATGCAGTGTATTCTCTTTTTTAAAATAGTTAGGAAATTATTTTTATGTTGATGTATAAACCTTAACTATAGCGCTGTAAGGTAGCCTTTAACGGAGTCTCATGTCAGCAGTCAAATGAAATGAGAAGGTAGAAAATTTTGTGCTGGGAGCTGATTAGCAAACTATAATGGGACTGAAGCATTCATTGTAAATTATGCAGAAAGAACTTGTGCAGATTTTTATTCCAGATGAACACTGTATAAAAAGTGCCTGAACTAAGCTTGTGATATGAATGTGGTTCTCTGTCCAAAACAAAAAAAGGGACCATCTAACCACAGAAATAACAGCTCTTCTATGAATCATGAATGTTTAAATCAACACTGTTTTTAATCCTTTCCAGTTGTTCTTAAATCAGGTTTGCCAGCAACGTACCACAAATAGAGAATGAAAATCTTTCGAAGGTGACCACCGCAGTGGCCCCAGTTTTGCCCTGTAGCTCCTGTTTGCTGTCAGACGCAGGAGACGCACATGAATGTGTGTGTTAGGGTAGAATTCGGACCTACTGTTCAGCTCTGTGTAACCCAGTCCCTTTTTTTTTCCACTGGAGTTGTCCAAAACCAGTGGCAGCATTAAACATAAACAATCAGGGTGCCAGTTTTCCTGCAGTTCATTCATTTCCTAAGTAGATGTCTCACTGTAGATTAAATGGCTAAAGATTAATTCCTGGTGCTTCACCTTTGATTTTTTTAAAATTCTTCAAGCAATCTACTGTTGTGTGTATGTGTGCGTAGAACTTTTGAGATAAGGAACTTGCTATTACTTGAAAAGAGAAATCGCTAGTCATTCTATACAGTAAGATGGGATCTTTACTAAAATGAAAAGCAATAACTTAAGTTGCTCACTTTGTAACAATACTGTATGTCAGACTGACAGATTTTATTGATGCGTTTGCTAGCCTATTTGGCTGCAGCTGTGGAACCAAATGTTAACTCTTTCTCATATATATATATATATATATATATAATGTGTGTGTATATATAGATGCACCCATGTACATGTTACACACAATACATATATAAATCATAGTCTGGGTATGTTATTGAAGTTCTCCATAATTCATAAAGAAAAGGTAGACATACATATTTTTAAGATTATAAAACGAGAACAGGGTTGTTTGTTTTTTAATTAAAAACAGATATTTCAGTTTTGCTGCTTGATGTCAGTCCATTTTTAACCATTCTGCCAACGGCAATATGAAACCTACATCTGGAGAAGTGTTTACTACTGTTGGGTGCTTGCTCCTATGTTTTAGTTATTTAGCACTCGACTAAACAAAGCACTTGCTACCTTATTGTAGGAAAGATTCCTGCAGTGGTTGGGACGATGCATTCCTATACATGATATATATATATATAAGGTCTCTTCCAGCTCTAATTTATAGGACCTCAGAGTTCTTGACTTGTTCTAGTAGATGCTGTGCTAGCCAACCTCTTTGTACGCCTAACCCATATGATAAAACTTTGGCATAACACAATAGAAATGGTTAGATATGTTTTTATGGACTTCTAAATAATAAATGTGTGCATCACTGATCCTATTTAATTGTAATGGCCCATATACACCAAGAGTAGAAAAATAGAAGAATGCTACAGCTAAATACGTAGAGACTCTTGGGAAAGCACATTGAAAATTTGATTTTACCACAGCAATTTTTTCTCCTGATTAATCAGAATAACAGCTGAAAACTGATTGTGAATGGATTTTAGCTAGAGTATCATTCTAATCCAAAATTGAGTGTTCCAGCAACTTCTTTAACCAGTTTTCTTGCTTTACGCTAATCTTAAGTGGTGATGTACCATTTCTTTATGATATAACTCTACAGATATATATACTATAGTGAAGTTTATTTCTTAGGAAATGCACTGAATACTGTATTTCTTCTGCAGTGTAATATGGGGAGGGACAATGCAAGAGAAAATGTGTATTTTTGGTAGTGGCCTATCTTCTGAGATACAATAAGCACAAATATTAAAATGCATTCAGCTAATCCAATAAGAAAGGTAGGATTAGTACTTACATTTTTCAAGTAGATTCTGTGTGTGGAAGCAACTAAAACTTTCTTCTATGATTTACATCCTAGTTATAAGCCAACATTGCTGCAGAGCTTTGTCACTGGCTGTTGGGGTTATAATGAAGTGCAAAATGCATACACTAGTATTCATTAACATTTGTAAATTTGTAAAGCCAAATGTACCAAGCAGAAGTCTTGAATCATTTTTATAGCTGACAGCATTAAACGTGTTAAACGTTCATACTATCAATAAAGTGTTTTATTTTTAAGATCTTACTGTCGTGCAAGAAAATGTTAACATTTTTGCTCTGAGTGCTCCTGACCTGATGCGGATCTGTAGCTGCCACTTGGAGACAATCAAGCTGTCTCTTGCATCATTCATGCCTCTCTTTGACATGTTACACAGTCACAAAAGGAAGCTGTCCTGGAGCCTCTAGCTTGTGCAGCAGGGACACTTGGAAGATAATAGCTTCTTGAAGAAAGATATATTGTTCTAAAGTAGACACACATACTACTGTGATGTTAGGTCTCCTGAAGATACAGCGTGTCACCTTTGCATCACTTAGTGTGGCTTGAGCTAGATGAGTCTCATTTCTGTTGAATGTTATTCAGTATACTGGTCATTTGTTATTTCCATGCCTGCTTTACATATGAAAGTTACAGTCACCTGAAGAAGTGGGCTGTGCCCACGAAAGCTCATGATACCATCTACATGTTTTGTTAGTCTATAAAGTAATACCAGGCCATTTGTTGTTTTTAAAGTTTATCCTGTACAGACTAACTCATCTACCCCCTGAAGCTTGTGAACAATGATAATTCATTAAACGTAGGCCTGACACACATGGTTTTTCTTAGATTGTTTAGGACATTTAAGCCTGGGGAAAATTGCCCTTCTCTATTCGTAACCCTGCTTCTGCAGGGTTCAGATGCTTTGGAGCCCAGTTGAGTTGCAAGTGTCTTTTGAACTGGCAGTCTGTAAATACAATTTTACTTAAGACACTGGAGAGGTGCCAGGCATGATTTAATAATGGGCTCTTGCATCATTATAAACACTGACTGCTGACTTGGAGGGCAATCTCTTTTGGAGGCTTGGGCTTAAAATGGAGAGCCTAGTCAGCTATTCAGTGTTGTTCAAACAAGCACATTGTTAAAAATCCAGGCCACACTAACCCCTCTGCTCCCCCACCGGAACACTCAGCTCCAGATTGGTTGGGAATTTGAACCCAGAAGCCTCTCCCAGGGAGGGGTGAGAGCTATACACTGACCTATCCATGCCTCTCCACAGTCCTTTTTGTCACTGCTTTTTCTAGGATGGCTTATGAAGACCAGAGTTTGCCATTGCTTGCCTAGTGATTAAAGTCTCGCACAGGCTGTTGGTTCATAGCTATTTCTGCCCTAACACCCAAGGTGCAGACATTTTAAAGAAACGCAGCTGTGTATGTCCTCTTGAGACAGTGTCTTTTGGGTGGGTTCCTTAGTATTTGCATTATATTAGAGGTAGGGACCCAGCTGCACAGGCAAACTGCCACAGGCAAACCCCGTATTACAGAGGCAGTATGTCGGGGCAGAGACAGCCTGTGAGTGACCCAGGTCACACAGCAAGTAGTGGCAGAGCTGAGATGGCATGCCAGCCCAGGGCCCTGTCCACTGGGCAGCGCTGTCCAAAGATGCTCTGCCTGGGGCCAGTATTGCTTTTTCAAAGTGTGCCCTCCTGGATGACAAACAGGGTCCAGGGCTGGGCACTGGAATCTCCAGTCACTAATGTCTCGCCTGGGCAAGCTGGCCAGAGGAGCATTATCGCCAGGCACCAGTTCTGCTTTGTGATCCCATTAGTTCAGCAGCCTCTGGCCTAGGAGTAGTTGGGGAATGAGCCAGGTGACTGGACAATCACAAACCCAGCTGGGAAGCTGCAGGAATTATGCAGGCAGCCCTTCTCCCGGTCCTGAGCTAGCATGTTACATTAGACAGGTGAGATGTAAAAGTAAATCCATCGTACCTGTGCCTTTCCATAACCCTCTAGCATATGTCCACATTTTCTAGGCACCCCGCTGTCCAAGTGCTCCAGCATTAACGCTCCTGCATCTTGTTGCATGGGGAGGGTGGTAACCCAGCATCCTGGGGAGGTTCCAAGTCGAGTATTTGCATTCTGTTGATCTAAATTCCCTCCGCAGCTCCCACGGGCTGAAAGATTCTTTGATGCCCTGAAACACAGTCCCCTTCAAGGCCCCCCACTGAAGTGCTACAGCAGCCCTCCACACTTTACCTGTGTGAATGTGAGGCACTTTGCTCTCCCTTGGAATGAAAGCTGCCATTCTTAGGAACGTTGCCACTGATATTTACCGGGCACAGGTGCTAAGGAGAAGGGCTTCATTTGGATGCTGTACTGAGCAAACTCGGCCCTAATTCTCCATCAAAGCTGCTGTGCAAAGTCATCTCTTCCCCTCTCACCCCTCCACAAAAGCTGGTGTCTACTCCAAAGCGCTTGTCTTGGGGCCTTTCCTGCTACAGCTGCCCCTAGCCAGGCCTGCAGAAGTGTTCTAGACTAGAGCCACACCGCATGTTTGCCACGTTTTGCCCAAGTCGCTTGTTACCTACCTTTGCGCCAGGCCCCACGGTGAGCAGGTTTTGCAGCCTGTTTTGCAGCAGCTTGGGAAGTGGTTCTGCACTGGACTGCCCCGCGATGAGCTTGCGAAAGAGTTGCTCCTAGGGAGTGTCCCCCACGCTGGCCCTGCCCCAGCATGATTAGGATAGCAACCATTCAACCAGTGCTGCTTCCTCCCCCGACCTCCTTGGTGCCAGGGGGCGGGGGGAGCCCTGTCCAAGCATCAGCTGGAGCTGCTAAAGGAGTGTGCTTTTGACACTCTCCTTAGTGGGGGTGGAGGTGGGGCTGGCATGTTCAGAGCCCTCGCCCCAGCCTGGAATGCCCACAAAACCTCAAAAGCAGGCTGGGTTTCACCCGCCTCCTACTTTAACCCTAACTGTGGAAATCTACTTAACCCGACCTACCTCTGGTGCTGCACCCCTGTGTGACGCTGAGGATCCTGGCCCAGCCCTGGTCCTGCTTGCAGCTGTTTTCTGCCGGGAAGAAGGAGTGAGTCAGTTTCTCTGGCGCACAAGGCTCCTATTCACCAGCCTGGCCACGGAGTGTTCAGAGAGCAGGCCCTGTTCAGCTTTTCTCCAGCGCACCAAGAGAGGAGTGTTCTGCTGCTGGCAGTGCTACACGCACTGACTACATGGCAGGGGCGGGGGTGGCTGGGTTTCGCTCTGCTCCCTTAAACAAGTAGGCACCCTGCACAATGAAGGACTTTGTAGTGGCCACGCCTCAGGAGGGGTCACAGCAGCCTCAACTGAGGGAGCTCGGCCCCAGCAGGGCCAGCTCCCAGGGACCAGAGTGCGGAATTCAGACCCATTGGTGAACTGGAATGAACTTCCTGCCTGTGCCGGCAGCATGGCCAGAAGGGCCCCGAATTTGTGGGGGTGGGCAATGAAGGGGGTGGGGAGGACAGAAGGGATGGGGCAACGTCCTCCCCCCCCCCAACTGGCCTGGGGGGGGGACGGCGGCCCCGAATGTGGGGGTGGGCAATGAAGGGGGTGGGGAGGACAGAAGGGATGGGGCAACGTCCTCCCCCCCCCCAACTGGCCTGGGGGGGGGACACCCCCACTGGCCAGAAGGCCCGTGGACGCACCTGGACGGGGT